GGGGGGCGGGGCTGGGGAAGCGCGGGCGGGAGACGCGGGGGGACCGGGAAACCGGGATGGGGGAAACGGGGGACTGGGGATGCGGACGTGCAGGGGGAAGACCGAGGAGAGCGGGGCTGAGGGGATACGCGGGTGAGAGAGACGTCTGGGGGAGGGGGACCGAGAAAACGATAGGAGAAATGGGGGACGCTGGCGGACAGGGTAAAGACCGGGGCGAGAGGAGCAGTGCTGACCGGGAAACGGGGGGCAGGGACTGGGTAAAAACTGGGGTCAGGGGTTGGGGGTAATGAGGGGAGGAACGGGCAGCCGGGTAAAAACCGGGGGCGGTGGGGATCTGAGGGGCAAACGGGGGACGCTGGGGGCCAGGCAAGAACCTGGGGAAGGAGTGGAGCTGAGGGGAAACGGGAGGAAGCGGGGAACGGACAAAAACGGGGGCGGGGAAGAAGCTGAGGAGAAAACGGGGAGAGGCGTGGGAACCGGGTGAGAACAGGGTTGCGAGTAGAAAGGAATAAATCGAATAAAAATGAGGACCTGAAGAGATCAGAGGTCGGAGGAAAATGGGATACAAAAAACGGAGGCTGAGGAGAGAACTTGGGGAAGAGTCAAAACGGGGCAGGAAAACGGGAGCTAAGTACGTATAAAAACGGGGGGGAGGGGGGCGGTAATAAAGAGGCTGGAGAATAAAATTGAGGGCCTGAGGAAGACGAGAGATCAGAGGTTAAGTGGGAGCCCAGGTAGAAGACACCAACACGGAGGCTGAGGATAAGAGGGGGGGATCAGAGACAGCCTGTGGGTTTTTAAAAAATGGGGAACAGAAAGGCATGCCCAGGGGAAAAGGGAAGGTTAAAACGTAGAAGGGCAGCTGAGAGAAGAGGGGAGATGAAGAAGAGTGGGGTCCAGAAATAGGCAAGTAGGATACACATGGGTAGGAACCCAGGAGGCCTGAGGTGACACGGGGCCCAGGAAAGAGGTGTTCGGGACAAGGGAAACAGAAGAGGAGGGAAAACAGGCAGAAGTAAGATGGGGGACTCAGAAAACCAGGGAGGAGGGGGGCTTGGGTTAAAAAATAATAATAAAATGGAAAGGCTGGGGTTAAAAAAAAAATGGGAAATCGAGGTTAAATTAGGAAATACAGACTTGGTTAAAAAAGGAAGTAAGTTTCAAATGCGACAACTCAGATAAAAGAGCTATGGACTATGGGAAGGAAATGGGGAGGGAGCCTGGAGTAAAGCGAAGAAGGGGGTGGGGGGAGAAAGAAGAATGACCTAAGAGAAGGGGAGATTGTTTGAAGCTAAAGTTAAAAACTGAGGAAAAACCCTGGGCCTAGAGAATGATAGAGGAATGGAATTGGACAACCTGAAGTGGGGCGTGAGGTGAGAGATTGGTGGCAACTAAAATTAGCTGAGCCAAGCGAAGAACGTCAAAGTCACCCACTCCCGGAACTCGACTGCTAACAGAAATTGTCTTTTGAAACACTCCACCAGTTCTATGTCCTCCATTGTAACTCCTACCCTAGCCCTTTAATGTTGGAAAGCATGAAGTCAGACCAAAAAAATGGCATATGTTTGAAAATATGCAGGCATTTGAGCACAAGGAGGAAAAAAAATGGAAGAAAACAAGTTTCTCAGAGGGATTATGAAAGATGCAGATGTCTCAGTAGATATAAGAGGGTGGGTACTGTCTACTAATCATGGAAAATAATGAAAAGTTATTACCAATAAGAAAGCCAGTAAAAAAGAAAAACAAAGTCTTTGGCAAACTTGTTTTCCCAAATCTTTCTGTTGACTAATCAGAACTAAATAAAGATCACTAAAGCATTTATTTAAAAATAACTTTATTCCATAATCTTAAAAAAAAAAAAATCCATATTATAACCTCAGAACTAATTTGTCCTGACCTCCCCCTACCAAATATGAAAATGTGAATAATGCAGAGGGATCTGCTGATTTTTTTTTTTGCACCAGCTTCTGGCCCGTCCCATGGTGAGACAGAGCGGTTAGCACGTATTGCATCACATAAATTTTACCCAGCAAGGAAGATTTTCCAGGTCTCAGTGCATGGCTTATGGAAATTTCCGATCATGTGTCTTCCTGCTGCAGTGATAGAGCCTGCATGTGCTTGTGAGAATTGCAGCTAATATCAAAGCCAGAGGATTGCACACCCCCCTCGTTGATGTCCCACCAGCTAGTGAGGAAAAGAGATACCAGTTGTGATATCCCTGAAGTGTTTTATCTTCTTCGTTCTGATAAGTAGATCTCCTGGTTTCTGAGTTCATATCACACACAGACAAAATGTTTAAAAAGCACAGTGTAACAACCTGGATTTTGCCACTATAAGGACAAAGTTCTGTACCCCGCTGTCAACATGTCTGCGGTTATGGGGATGGATCACCTTAAAAAAAAAAAAAAAAAGAAGCCCTAATTCTTTAAAAAGCCTCAAAACTTACTCCAGTAGCGGGCTCGTAACCAACCTCGCCATATTAATGTGCACACCAGGCCGAGAAGTAAGTGACATCAGCCACAGCTTAAGTGGTCAAGGGATGCGTGGTTTACGGTGTTCTGGCACCAAGACCTTGGAGTTCCCGTTTGCTAGTGGAAAAACCCCGCCTCAAATATTTCCTAACATCAGGTGTGTGCGCAGGAGAAGAGGAAGTGGCAAGCACCCCAATGATCTTGCAGTGTGTTCTCTGCATCCCAGCTTGGGATTTTTTTTTTTTCTTACATTTTGTTTTGTTTTGAATATGGTTGCCTCTGCAGAGTGGACTCTCAAATTCAAGAATTTATTCATGGAAGACTAACTCAGACTTCAGTGACTTTAGAAGCCACCTGTCCAAGAATCCATGAAACGACAGTATCGTACGCTGTTTAGAGTGGTTAAGCACATGAGGTACCATGGAGCAAAAGACCTGGCCCAACTAACAGAAGTGCAATTCACAGCTATTCCCGAGGGGTGGAAACTGCAGCAGCTCCTGAGCTCCCCAGGGTCTGAGCTGGGGACAGGACACACACTGAGTGATTTACTCAGTTTAGTCCCTTCATCCAAGAAAATAACTCCACCTGCAGGGTGACTTCAGATAACCAGCTTCTCATCCTCGGAGTCACTGGTATTAGAGAAAGAAAGTTCTCTTTTAAGTCCGAGGTTGTGCCCATTACAGCAGAATATGCAATATTAAAGAGTGCAAATTCACATCAGATTTTCATGTTTAGCACATATCACTTGCACCCTTATAAGGTCCCTGCCATTTAAGAGATTTGGATAAAATCAGGAAAAAAAAAAAAAAAAACTCTAATCTGTACAAGGATCTACTTGGAAGTAGCAGCAGCCTAAACTCATTACACATTATTTTCATTGGAAGCTTGATCAGTATAGCCTCATACTATCCCTAAGACGTAGGAAGGAAACAAGTTTTCCCATTTCCGAGGTGGAGAAACCGAGGCCAGATGAACTGGTTTGTGCAAGGAATCCTTATCACCAGATACTTTGTTACCAAACCTTTATCCTGCCTTCTTTCACAGCCACAGAAGGGAAGAATGGGAAAGGCTGAAAGCCAGTGGTGCAACAAAAGAGGCTTTTGTATAAATATGAAGCTCTGCTAAATGTGAGGATATAATGAAAGGCACTTCCTCTTATTGGCCCCTTACCTCTTTGAAAAGAATTATATGTTCAAGGAAGCGAAAAATCATCGGGAGAGCTCTGATAATGCCCTTGCCTGAAACCATTCTCCAAAGAATGAACGGCACGGGGCAGTAGCTCTTAGAGTTAGCATTTCTCCTCCACTAGGAAAGGCAAAGAAGATAATGATTATGGAGCACCTCACATCCACAGTTATCTCATTTGATCCTCACCACAGCCCCGTCAGGTAGGTATGATGTCACCTATTTTACAGATGAGGACATTGAAGCCCAGGGAGAGGAAAAGCCATGTGCCCAAGCCCACATAACAAGCAGCAGGGCCCATAGTCAAGCCTGGGTGGTTCTGACTAAGCCTGAACCCGACTGCCTTCCTCTGACAAGGAGTGGCACCTGACACGGCCTCGCCTTTTCTAGGGAATTGACATTTGCCACTGGCTCACCTGGGCAGTGATAGAGGGCATTTCCCTATCACCCCACAACATTCCATTCCGTGCCAGGGCAGGCTGGTTTCAAACCTCTGATAGTGGCAAAAGGCACTGAGACCGTGTGCTTTTGCTCACTCCTTCTCCCTTCCAAATCAGCGTCTGCCACAGTACATGCACAGACGTTAATGCAGCCTTCCCCCATACACTGCATTCCCGAAGCTTTTTAACATTTTGGGAAGACTTACAACAAAGCAAACCAATTTAAAAAAAAAAAAAAAAAGCAAGGAAAGATGTGTGTGTTTTTGTTTTTTGCTGAAAGACCCAAACCATTGCTAATGCAAGACCCCAGGAAGGGGTGCAAGTCGAAGCTGAACGAAAAGCTCATCTTCAACCTTGCTTTCCAAGCTGTTAAGAAAAAATAACAATGGACAGTTTTCTTCTTCAAACTGGCCCATCTTCTTCTTGAACGATGTCACTTTGAAGCTCACTGCTATCATCTGTATGGGGGGAAAACAGAACCAACTCTGAATGATCTCAAGAGAGTGTATTTCTATTCCCACCATCAGTTTTCAATCATTTGAGTAATCTGTAGTTCTTTACTGGAAAGCTAGACAATGAATCATGAAGACTGAAGAAGAATTGGTGCCTTTGATTTATGGTGTTGGCGAAGAATGTTGAATATACCACGGACTGCCAGAAGAACGAACAAATCTGTCTAGTTAGAAGTACAGCCAGAATGCTTCTTAGAAGCGAGGATGGTGAGACTTCATCTCACATACTTTGAACATGTTATCAGGAGGGACCAGTCCCTGGAGAAGGACATCATGCTTGGTAAAGTAGACGGTCAGTGAAAAAAAGGAAGACCCTCAATGAGATGGATTGACAGAGTGGCTGCAACAATGGGCTCAAACATAACAACGATTGTGAGGATGGCACAGGACCAGGCAGTGTTTCGTTCTGTTGTACATGGGGTCGCTATGAGTTGGAACCGACTTGACAGCACCTAACAACAACAACTGGAAAGATGAATGAACCACCGCATTGGATTTCACAGAGGACCAGGTAGGACAGGATAGGTATTCCCCCTTTCACCTGCTCTCTTTCAAAATCCTCATAGACAGGCTTGATGCTTTCCATCCTTCATACTCTTGACTTGTGCCATTCCCCTCTGTACTTTCTGCTTCTGCAAATGCAACTGTCCTTAAAGTCTCGCCTGATATCCCACCTCTTCCATAAAGTGTCTCTAGACCAAATGACCCCTCAAGGCTCTCATCTCTCTCCGAGGTCTTGTAATTTTTAAATGCATCATTCATCAGGCAATTCATCAACTCTTTCCTTGCAACAGCTTCTCTACTGCTCTCTCACAGCATTGGTTAAATGTTGCTTCCATTTCAATTTTCCCTCCACGTTTTGGTCTGCTTGCCCTAACTGGTCTTGTGTAACTCCTTGTATGCAGACATCGTCTTTTTTCCCTCTACCTACACTGCCAATAACGCCCCTGGGTGAGTGGCACAAATGGTTTTACCTCGGCTACTAATCAAAAGGTTTGTGGTTCGACCCCACCCAGCAGTGCCATGGAAGAAAGCCCTGGCAATCTGTTTCCGTAAAGATTACAGCCAAGAAAACCCTAAGGAACTCGGTTCTACTCTGTTACACGTGGAGTTGCCGTGAGTTGGAATTGACTCATTAGCAACAGATTTGAATGTTTTTTTTTTTTTTTTTTGGTAACAATGCCAATATTGTACCTTTCCCAGAAAAGGCCTTGGAGAAATGTGTCAATTTAATTTTTACGTTCAGGTCTTCAGGTTCGAGATTAAACTTTAGCTAGCTATCTTTCCCAGCCTTTAAAAAACAAATCACCTCTGGAAGATTTCCTACTGGGAGGCTCACCACAGGTGATCAGAGGGCTTTTAAGGGGAAAAGAGCTTACCTTGTAGAGCCTGGAGCCCATTTCCCATCTGTTCTATGTTGCCATTCACTAGTGCAGTTACTTGATGAATGTGGCCATGCTTGGGGCTTTCTTTTGGCAGTTCCTCCCTCTCATCTTCTTCTTCCTCCTCCTCTTCTGCAGCATCTTCCTCTTCCTCCTCCTCTGAATCCACCAAAACCATGACATCACCCGTGTCTCGCCCCCTAATTTCCAAAGGGGAAAAATAAGAAGATATCCCACTTTTCTCCAAACTTCAGACCTCACTGAATAGGAAACACTGGGTTTTTCTGCAGCCCCTTTGGCAATATGGAAAATTTTTCATGCATTCAAGTTGGTTAAGTCACGAGATGATGGTGTGATGGCAATCTCACAAAGAGATGCCACCACAGGCTGCTACAGAGGATCATATCTTGTGCTCTTAGTAATTCCTCCTCAGAAAGCACCCTCCCCTGCTCATCAGGCAGGGGTCAGTGTTCCAAGCACCCACCATTTCACTTCCCGTCACAGCACGTGCACTAATACTCTCTGCCCCTTTCCTGAAATGCCCTTAATTCTGCTCCACTCACTGAAATTTCTCCTCCTCCTTCAAAGCCCAGGTAAAATCCTCCCCCTCCTCTGAAGCCCTGAACTATGACTGATGTAGTCCGTGCCCAGTGGTTTAGCATTTAAGTGCTCCTCCAGTATATCGCTAGCCTTGCCTACCCAGCTAGACTGTACATTTCTTAAAGAAGGAAGAACAAGAATGTGAGCCAGCCACAGTCCTGGGGGTGTTACATTCTCATTTAATCCTCATAACCCCACCTGTGAAACAGATGAAGAGACTGAGGCTCAGAGAAGGTCAGGCACTTTTCCATGGTCACAGGGCCTGGAAACGGCAGAGCTGAGATTTGAACCCAGGTCCACGAACTGAAAAGCCTTTTCCCACTATGCCATGCTGCTGCCTCCCTGTGAGAAATAACCCTGGGGAATGGCAGACTAACTGGGAGAACAGCCCTCAAATACAGGGCAGTAAACATTATGTTGTCTCTTGGAAGATGGTCTCAGAATAATATTCCATCATGATGAATGAATAAAGAGAAATTATTTTTCCATACAATTGTAGAGAAGCGTTCTTTGCTCCGACCCAGAGTGTCCTTAGAAAATGAAATACACAAGTTCCATCTAGTTACATGGCCCCTACTGGGGTTCCTCTTTGGGAGGGGCTTCTGAGCATGCTCAGAGTAGTCTTCCAAAACATGTCTTATGACTTATTCTTTCTTTTAGCTCTTTTTAGAAAATTAAACTAAAATGCATGCATGGACTACTGGGCTCAATATGTACACATCATCTTCATGCCTCAGTGATGGACCAGCAAAGAGCCAGCCTGGTGGTGGTCTAACAGCTCATGGAGATTGAAAAATCTAGGTGAAGTTTGTTATTGTAGAAAGAGCACAAACTTTGGAATCAGTTAGACCTGGGTCTGAAATGCAGGCACTGCCGTTTACTTCCTGGATGAGCTTGCAGAAATTATTTTATGGTGCTGAGCCTCTGTGTCCTTATCTGGAAATGGAGATGCCATCACCACCACCCCAGAGGGCTGAGGAAAGGGTTTATAATAATGCCTAATGAAGCCTCCAGTACAGCGGCTGGCACAGGCTGGGTCCTTAGCAGTAATTGCTATCATTGTTCTTATGATAGGAAACAAAACAGCAGCGAAGACAGATGATAGAAATGGGTTTGATGTGAATCTAAGGAGCACTCACCTGAAAGTGTTTCCTACTGAAGGGAGAAAGGAAAAAAAATTAATATCCAATAACACCCACTTCAGCCTCACAACAGTTTTTAATCAATCTAACATTTACATAAGAATAAACAAATGAGAACACTGACCCGACATCAGAAATGACAGTGTCCATTCAACAGATGAATGGATAAACAAAATGTAGCGTATCAATACAACGGAACATTATTCAGTCATCCAAAGGAAGTTCTGATTCATGATATGACCTGGATGAACCTTGAAAACATTATGCTGAGTGAAATCAGCCAGGCACGAAAAGACAAATATTATATGATTCCACTTACGTGAAATATCTAGAATAAGCAAATTCGTAGAGACAGAAGTAGATTAGAGGTTACCAGAGATCAAGGGGAAGGGAAACAGGGAGTTATTACTTAATGAGTATGGAGTTTCTACCTGGGGTGATGAAAAAGTTTTAGAAATAGATAATGGTAATTGTTGCTCAAATTGTGACTGTAATTAATGCCACTGAATTGTACCCTTAAAAATGGTTAAAATGGCAAATTTCATGTTACATATATTTTATCACAATTAAACCTGCTCCAGCACAAAAAAACCATTTTTAATCTAACATGTACAAAAGAATGAGAAAACTGACCCAACATGAGAGATGACAAAGAGTGTTCAGGGATGGTACTCAGGAGACTCATGACTGCACATCTTTACCCAGATGAATTGTATAGAATGGGACTTCAGGTAGGAGCATAAAAGGGGCTTCATTCCCCCACCCACGCACTTTCAAGAACCCTGAAGGAGAAGCAAAGGGGCCCAAGAAACCCTACCTTTGCAGCAGAACACAGGGCTATAATACAACAGAAGCCCTGAGATAATGGCCAGTCCCAGCAGAAGGAGGCTCACGATGGTTCCCACGATTCCTCCAATGTTTAAAGGTTCTGTAAAGACAAATCGCACCACTGCCTTATCCATGTGATATGCATGCAGCTCAGGAGAGCAGCACCTCTCCTGACCTGCCCTGGGTCCAAGTCTTACCTTGGTTTCATGACCTTGCATTGAAAACAATTTGGAGTTTTCTCACAAAAATGCACATGTCCTATAGCCCGTTATCTCTCCTCCTTGTACATATCCTAGAGAAACATTTGCTTATGGCTATAGAACTAGGTAAAAAGACAGCCACAGAAACTCTGTTCATCATAATAAAAAATCAGAAACAACCTCACAGTCCATTACCAGGAAAATGAATGACTTAACTGTGGAATAGTGACACAATGGAAAATTATATAGCAGTGAATATGTACGAAGTACAGTTATACACATCATCATGAATAAATCCTAGAAACAAAATGTGGAGTGAAAAGCAAATCAAAGAAGACTCAATATGTAGGGTAACAATATTTTTTAAAGCTCAAAAACAAAAATAAGATACTAGCTAGAAAAAAATATGCAGTAAAAAACTTTTAAATAAGTACTTGGAATTAAAAACATGAAATTCAGGATAGTGTTATCTCATCCCAGGAAGAAACTGGGAAGGGGTCTACATGTAGCGTTGCCAGATAAAATACTGATCAACAATGAATAATTATTTTCCTATAAGTATGTCCCACACAATATTTAAGACATAAATAGACATAAATTTTAGCTGCTGTAAAGTTGACTCCAATTCATAGCAACCTTATACACAACTGAACAAAACTTGCCCAGTCCTCCATTATCCTCATGATCTCTGGCATGTTCCAGTCCATCTTTGTGGCTCTTGTACCAGTTCATCTCACTGATGGTCTCCCTTGCCCTCACTGGCCCTCTACTTCACCAAACATGATGTCCTCCTCCACTGACTGATCTGTCCTGATGATGTATCCAAAGCAAGCAAAGTCAGACAGTATTCTGTTGTGATCAATAAGGTTTTCATTAGCCACTTTTTGGAAGGAGATCACCAGGCCTTTCTTCCTAGTCTTTCTTAGGCTGGAAGCTCCACTGACACCTGTCCCCCATGGGTGCCTCTGCTTGTATTTGAAATACTGGTGGCAAAGCTTCTAGCATCACAGCAACATGCAAGCCACCCTAGTATGACAAACTGACAGATGGGTGGTGGATTTGAGACATAGTTAAACCAAAATATTATTCAGTGACTTTCTGAAATTCAAATTTGAGTAAGCATCCTGTTTTATTGTTTTGTTTTTGTTTTCTAAATCTAGCCTCACTACCTACAGATAACTTCAGCGATATTGGCTCTGTGCTATATCTTAACTGGGACGGCAGTTTCTCGAATATTCATTTTGCTACTATGCTTCACAATTTATATATACTATACTTATATATTCTTTGGTATGTAACAGGTATCAATAATGTTTTTGCTCCTAAGCAAGTATTAAGTAGTCCTGGTTGCGCAGTGGTTAGGCAATTGGCTGTTAACCGAAAGGTCAGCAGTTCAAACCCCCCAGCCACTCCACAGGCGAAAGATGTGGCAGTCTGCTACTGTAAAGATCGCAGCTTGGAAACCCTATGGGGCAGTCCTACCTTGTCCTATAGGGTTGCTATGAGTCAGAATCGACTCGATGGCAAGGGGTTTGGTTTTAAGCAAATGTTAGAGGTTTAGGATTGAACAATGATTTTCCCCAGCCACCTTGTGAAGCCACAGTCAAGCAGACATGCCCACATGCAGGAAAGCTCCAGGCTTTTCCATGTTGCTTCCAGGTCCTGTGAAACCCTCAACCGTCCTCCACTGGGGCCACTTACATCACCTACCTCTCACGATGAGCCAGATGTCCACCTCCCTCACGCCCACGGGGTTCTCAGCCCGGCAAACATAGTAGCCATTATCCAGGTGCTGGGAGCAGTTGCGGATGGTGAGGGTGGAGTTCTGGCCGTGCTGGCTGATAAGATAGTGGCCATTGGGCTGAATGACCACCTCAGGCTGGGTGAGGTTCCTCAGCCACAGGATCTTGGCAGGCGGGTAGGCATCAGACACTTGGCAGGTGAGCGTCACGTTGCCCCCAACAAAGCAAGTCTTCATGGGATTAGAGATAAGGGAGGGACTCCCTGGAGATGAGGAGAAGGTCAAGAAAGACAAATTTTTTTATTTTATTTTTTTTGTAGTGGTCTTAAGGGTTTGTTTTTTTATTGTACTTTAAGTGAAAGTTTACAGTTCAAGTTAGTCTCTCATACAAAAATTTATATACACATTGTTATGTGACCCTAGTTTCTCTCCCTATAATGTGACAGCACACTCGTCCTTTCCACCCTGAACTTCCTGTGTCCATTCAACCAGCTCCTGTCCCTTTTTGCCTTCTCATCTCGCCTCTCGATAGCAGCTGCCCATTTAGTCTCATGTAACTACTTGCACCAAGAAGCACACTCTTCACGAGTATCATTTTATAAAGAAAGATAAATTTTTAAGGTGATTCAGGCTGTGGCCTGAGATCTTCAAGAATGTGGTTTCCTTTCTCATGAAGCAACTGCATAAATTTTTGCACCACATGTGGCCTTACAGACTAATGAGTTAACATTTATTGTACTATGGGCTGGGCACTGTTACACATATCAACCCAATTCATTCTCACAACAACCCTGTTATGATATCCATTTTTCAAATGAGAACACTGAAGCGTGGAGAAGTAACATGCTCAAAGTTATACAGATAAGTAAGTGGTGGGGCTAAGATTTAGGGTGACCAACCATCCTAGTTTGTCCAGAACTGAGGAGGCTCCTGGAACAGGGGGCTTTCAGTGCTAAACCCAGGAAAGTCTCCAGCCAACTGGCATTTGAAGATGCTATACTGCTGGCTTTGAAGATGGAGGAAGAGGCCACGAGCCAAGGAATTCAGGTGGGTTTTGGAAGCTGGAAAAGGCAAGGAAATGGATTCACCCTTGGACCCTCCAGAAGAAACACAGCCCTGCTGACCCATTGTGGACTTCTGACCCCAGAACTGTAAGAAAATGTATTGGTGTTGTTTTCAGCCACTAGGTTTATGGTAGTTTGTTACAACAGCAATAGGAAACTAATACACCCAGCAATTATACTCTTAAGTATCTACCCAGGAGAAGTGAAAACATACATCTACACAAAAACAGGTACACAGATGTTCACAGCAGCATTCTTTATAATAGCTAAAAACGGGAAATCTAAATGTTCTTCAACTGGTGAATGGATAAACAAAACAAATATGTATGCAATCAAATACTACTCAGCAATAAAAAACAACTATTGATAAAATCTACAAAGTAGATGAACCTCAATATTATACTCAAGCCAGACACAAAACACTACATACTGTATGAGTCCATTCATATGAAATGTCCATAAAAGGCAAATCAAGAAAGACAGAAATCAGATTAATGGATCCCGAGGCCGAGGGTAGGAATGGGGATTGACTACAAAAGGACACAGGGAACTTTTGGGAGTGATGGAAATGTTCTAAAACTGGATTGTGGTGATGGTTGAACAACTCTATAAACCAGATTTTGGCCCTTTCTTCTCTTTGGATATGTGCATTTATTGCTATAAATTGACCTCTGAGTGCTGCTTTCGCTGTGTCCCAAAGGTTTTTGTAGGATGTGTTTTCATTCTCATTTGATTCTGTGAATTTCTTTATTTCGTCCTTAATTTCTTCTATAACCCAGCAGTTTGTGAGCAAGGTGTTGTTCAGTTGCCATGTGTTTGATTTTTTTTTTTTTTTCCTTGCTTTTTCTGTTATTGATTTCTACTTTTATGGCTTTCTGGTCAGAAAAGATGCTTTGTAATATTTCGATGTTTTGGATTTTGTTAAGGCTTGCTTTATGGCCTAATATGTGGTTTATTCTGGAGAATGTTCCATGTGAGTTGGAAAAGAAAGTATACTTGGCTGCTGTTGGGTAGAGTGTTCTGTGTATGTCTAGGAGATGGAGTTGGTTGTGGCATTTAGATCTTCCATGTCTTTATTGAGCTTCTCTCTGGACGTTCTGTCCTTCACTGAAAGTGACGCGTTGAAATCTCCTACTATTATTGTGCAGCTATTTCTCTTTTCTATGCTGTTAGAGTTTGTTTATGTATTTTGGAGCCCTGTCATTGGGTGTGTAAATATTTATTATGGTTATGTCCTCCCGGTGTATTGACCCTTTTATCATTATATAGTGTCCTTCCTTATCCTTTATGGCGGCTTTTGCTTTAAAGTCTATTTTGTCAGAGATTAATATTGTCACTCCTGCTCTTTTTTGATTGTTGTCTGCTTGATATATTTTTTCCATCCTTTAAGTTTTAGTTTGTTTGTGTCTTTGAGTCTAAGTTGTGTCTCTTGTAGGCAACATATAGATGGATAGTGTTTTTTTATCCATTCTGCCACTCTCTGTCTCTTTATTGGTGCATTTAGTCTATTTACATTCAGCATAATTGTTGATAGGTATGAGTTTAATGCTGTCATTTTGATGTCTTTTTTTATGTGTTGTTGACAGTTTCTTTGTTCCACTTAATTTTCTGTGCTGAGTCGTTTTTATTTATGTATTTTCTTTTCATCTTTTTCATTGTTGTTGATTTTGCATTTGCTGAGTCTTTATGTTTTTCTTGTTTTTTATTTTGATGTGTAGGATTGTTAGTTTCCTTTGTGGTTACCTTAATATTTACCCCTATTTTTCTAAGTTTAAACCAATCTTTTTTTTTTTTCTAGTACACATGTTATTTTATGACGCTGGTTAACAACCCCACAACATATCAACCCTCTAACTTCTCAACTTTTTTTTTGGTGAAAATACACATAACCAAAGATATACCATTTCAAAAATTTCTACATGCACAGTTCAGTGAGATTGACTACACTCTTCCAATTGTGCTGTTATTCTCACTTAAGATGAAGGCTTACAGAACAAAATAGTTTCTCATTTAACAGTTACTACAAATGTTG